TTCTTTGTGGCGATCTTCAAGAGGAAGTTTATATGGAGCAACCACCTAGGTTTGTTGCCCAGGGGGGAGTCTAGTTTGGTATGTAAACTTCATTGCTCTTTATATGGTTTAATTAAAGTAGTCTCCACGGGAATGGTTTGGGAGATTTAGCTCTGTGGTGAGTGAGTTTGTTATAACCATAAGTGAAGTTGATCATTCTGTTTTCTATCGTCATTCTAATGGGAAATGCATATACCATGTACTGTATGTGGATGATATTGTTATTACAAGGAGTGATCAAAAGGGCATATCTCAACTGAAATAGTATCTCTCCAGTCGATTCCAGACAAAGGATTTGGAAAACCTAAAGTATTTTCTTGGAATTGAAGTGGCCCAGTCTAGCAGTGATATAGTCATTTCTCAAAGAAAATATGCCTTGAATATTTTAGAAGAAATGGGCATGTTGGATTGTAGACTTGTAGATAATCCAATGGATTCGAATGTTAAACTCCTGCCAGGACAGGGGGAGCCATTGCCTAACCGACACTACTAGCAATTATAGAATTTCCGATCACCTGAAAGTGATCTTAAATGAAGTTGATACCAAAAAGTGGTTGGAAATAGCAACAAAGGTTTTTCCGGATACCAAAAGTGATCGGAACAAGACTTTCGACTTGATTTAAGATCACTTTCAGGTGGTCGAAAATTCCATAATTTCCAATAGTGCAAGAACGATACAGGAAAGTAATTGAAAAATTGATTATCTCACAATTACACGACCATATAGTGTAAGGTATATGAAGAGAGCACCAGGGCAAGGTTTACTATATGAAGATAGAAGGCATGCTCAGATTGTTGGGTATTCTGATGCAGATTGGACCGAATGTCCATTTGACAGACGCTCTACTTAGAGTTATTGTGTGTTCATTAGTGGTAATCTTATATCTTTTCAGAGAATACAATGAATATCATTATTCTTCACAAAATTCAACCTTCTTTAAAGTAACAAAAAGCGTATTTCTTGTAAAAAACTAATTAACAATCCTAAAACTAGATTGGTGATCAAAGTGTGGGAATGGTTCACTCTATATGGTACAGAGAAAACTTATTGAATTTCTTCTTAGTAAAACTGAAAAGAGTGAATCAGAGAAAGAGTAAAAGACATTTTTGGTCCTAGACTTATAGTGTCTTGGACAATTTTAGTCCTTTATAAAAAAATTTGTCATTTTATGGACAGAGTTATTGTGGCGAGGACATTTTTGGTCCTCCGTCTATATTTCTGTTAGATAACCGTATGAGAGAGGGGCAATTACGTCAATTTAAGCTATCTCCTTCTATCAATTATATCTATGTGTGTTTGGCGGCTTCGATTCTCCTTCTATCTACTTGATTAGTAACCTGTTTGGCGGCTTCGATTCTCCGGCAATTTCTTCGTACAACTGCAACTTGGACTCTCTGACTCCTTCGAATTATGACCGAGAAGAAAACAAAACACACATAGATATAATAGATAGAAGGAGATAGCCTAAATTGACGTAATTACCCCTCTCTCAGACGATTATCTAACAGAAATATAGACGGAGGACCAAAAATGTCCTCGCCACAATAACTCTGTCCATAAAATGACAATTTTTTTTATAAAGGACTAAAATTGTCCAAGCCACTATAAATTTATGACTAAAAATGTCTTTTACTCTCAGAGAAATTACTATCAACTTTGAACTAATATAAATTCTTGTCCCAAACTAATATAAAATTCTCTCTCACTCAATGATTGTAATCCTTCAAACCAATACTCCAAGTTAAGATTTTTGGTCAGTTGGAGATTTATATAGTATTATAGTAATGGATACTTAAAGTTTCAAACATAAGTATAAAAAAATTAAATAACACTTTGGTGTTTAGAGTAAAAAAATTATTTTTAATTCGATAGAAATTTTATTACAACTATGATTTTCGATAAATAAATTTGAATCCATGGGAAGAAATTTATAGATTTTAGAATGAAAAATATAATTAGCAAAATATATGAAATTGAAAATATGAGCGAGTGTGCCAATGACAAATATATAAAAATAAAGGAAATTGAAATGAGATAGGATTACCCATTTGCCGTGGTTTGCAAATCCCATCCAGACAAATTAGCAGCCTCATTGAGTGCAACTTTCCACTCATTTACTTTTTGATCCCCAAATCGTTTTCTATGTTGATTCAAAGCATCACCAAACTTTCCTGTTTGATTGCGAACCTCAGAAGCATCAATGTCGTAGAATATAGGAATAACCATTTGGTGCAAATTTTGTTTACATTCTAAGATCTTCACCAATTCATCAAGACACCATCTAGATTGGGCATAATTTTTGGAGAATACAATGATGGATATTTTTGATCCTTCGATGGCTTTCAACAACTCAACAGAAATGTTTTCACCTTTCGAGATTCCTTCGTCAACCAGAAATGTGTTAACTCCGACTTGACACAAATTTGTATAGAGATGATCAACAAAAGATTTTCGTGTCTCCCCTCTAAAACTCAAGAAAGCATCATACCTCCCATGAGCCGTCGATGAAAAAGCCATACCTGAAATTGAGTACACTATATTCTGTCTTGATTTGCTAGCAGCTTGCCTGGTAACATAAATTATATATAAAGAGTTAGGGGAACGGGTGAGCAGAACGATGCCTAGGCTGTCAAATTTTGTATTTATATGTAATGTAGTGTTTGAGAATAATTATGGCCGCCCTTCTTGTAGAACAACTCATTTGATGCAACCTATGTAGCCCAACAAGGAAAACAAGAATGACGAAAACACCTATGAAACAAAACATGAAAAAATATGCAAATATATATATATATATATATATATATATATATATATATATATATATATATATATATATATATATATATATATTTATTTATTTAAGATTTTCCCTAATAATATATATTATATATTATATATTAGGGCCTTAATTAAGTGGTGCAAGTTGACTAGGCTTATTAAGTGGGATACAGGATTATGGATTAGATGCACATTCAGTTACGGTACTCAGACTGCTCAGTAGATACCAATACACCATCTAGGGTTCTGAGTCAGGTCTGAGGCAATACATGGCTAACGGTCTACCGTTAAGAAGCAACATAACAGGAACATCAACTATGGCCGGAGATCAACACGGCTACGCTTCCGCTATCATACGAGGTCAGGTTTCTCGTATACTATGTTTATTATAGTTAGACTATTGTATATCTAACATTTGGTATCAGAGCCATTTATAATCTTTGCCTAGTTGATTGTTTTGCCTAAAACAATATTCAGTTTTCATATTCATGTCTTGTATATTAATTCTTTGAAATATACATACAACATATATATCTATTTAGTGAAGATATAATTAAGCAATTTACTGTGTATGTGTTGGGTGAATTAATTACACTTGATTAATTTTTGGCATTAAGCACAATTTTAATTCCTTTTGGTTTTTGGAATTATTTGTTGTGATTTTGTTTGGGATTCACGGAAAATTATTGAAGATTTTTTTGGCGAATGGATGGTTACAGTTAAACAAAAAAAAGGAGGAATGGTAATACACGCAACATTAAGATATGTTTGTGTGATTAAGGTAATTACAATTATCATTTATATTTATTTACCATATAAATATTTGTCTTATTAATAATTACATATTAATTTGGTAAATGGTAATTATTTAGTTTATTATTATCATATTTATATTACCTAATTTAATAATGTATATTATTTTGGCAAATGGTAAATATATGGTAATTGTTTGTTTTTGGATAATGCCTTTTAGTTTTCTCTTATTTTGACATTGAATTCATTGTTAAATTATTATTCAATTTGAGCAAATATTAAGCTTTTATTTGCTGTTTGAATTTTAATTTAATGTTAATGTGCATATTAAATTGCCTCAAGTATTGCAATTTATTTAAGATATATGGGTTAATAATATATTAATATGCAAATCCAAGCATGCTATGTATATTCATAAATTATTGTTATAATTATACATTCATAATAGCATGCATTAAGGTTGGGTTTAACATATTATTAACTCATAAATTCATTATTAAATATCATTCAATTTTAGATCCTTTGGCCAATTTTAAGCATTATGGCCTGTTAAGTAGCTTGTTTGGTTTCCCCTTAATTTTGAGAACATTTTGTTTTATGTGTCTCAGGGACTTTAGAACCTATTTTGAACAAGCGATTTGGGACCTATCTTGGGTCATTAAAGTATGGATCCCATCGATTGATATTTAAATAATAATTATAGCTCCTTTTGATTATAACATGTTTATTAAGTTTTAATTATTACTAACTACCATATTTTGGTATTCATCGTTGGTAATAATATTAAGTTTTGGGTCTATTTCAGTATTTAGACCATTTTTATTCATGTTATAATTCACTTGGGTCATTGAGGTTTATGTGCCTAATTTGAGTGATTAAGTGCTATAATTATTGTCTTGACCTGTTTTGAGACATTAAGGATTTAAAGATTTAATTGTTATTTTGGCCATTAAAACTATAACTATTGTTTAAGTTGATTAAATTTTTAATCTATCAATAGTTTTTCAGGGCTTTAATAATAATATTAAGTCTTTAATTTTATGGCAAAAGCAATATAGTTGGTATATTGTGTATCATGGTAATTTGGTAATACATGGTAATTTGGTTATTACCTTAACTTCAGTCTCCCTAAGTATCATAATAGTCATGGTTAATTATTATGTGATGAATTGAGATTTGTATTTGGCATCCCTTAATTACAGTTTTGCCTTTATTATAGTTATTATTAATTGGCATTATTAATTACTGTTATTAAGTTTAAGGGCTAATCTCATTTTATTACTTTTCATAATAATTATCATTTCATGGTAATCTGCTATATTTGGTACATTGGCATGATTACCACTCCATTTTTACATGACTATTAATGTTGGTAATTAAGTCCTACCAATAAATTTTTTAACGTACCATTGGACGCTGCATCGAGTTTATTGACACCGATAGTGAAGATTGGGAGAATTATGGAGTCTTGTGGATCATCATCGTTGTTAGCGCAATGGAGAGATGCGGTTTGCATCATTAAGGTTAGCCATTAATTATCTTTTACAGTTATTATTGATAATTAGTGCTACAGTTACAGTTAACCGCTAATTTAGACTAGTCGCATATTTTATCTTTAGGAAAATGGAAACATTAAAAGGTGCATTACCATACTTTGATTTGTCATTATTATTAATGTTAATAGTGATTATAATGTTACTTATTGCTATTAATAATTAATTAATGATGACATTAATATTGTTATGGTATTCAGTTATGCACTTTGAACTGTTTCCAAATAAATTTATGTGACAATATTCCAGTACATAAAATAATTTTCTTGACATTAATGTTTTTCGGATTTCAAATTTTATCAAGTTTTTAAAATTTTATCCGAAAATGTTTATAAATGTTAGCGGTTTTAACCATTGTTTTTTCATATTTAGTCTCCTACTTAATGTGATAATATTATTATGGCTATTTATTGCTATTTTGGTTATTTGCAATTTTGCCATTAATAATAATAATATTATTATTAACTGAGTTATGGAGAGTGATTTTGAATCAATTTAGTAATGTTGGAAAAACATATTTTCTAGGCATTTGACTTTTGCCATTAATTCCATAATTCATTTAGTTCTTTGAATTATGACTGTCCATATTTGGTTAAGTATGAATAAATGAATATTTTGTTTAAATTCATATTCTTTAGTTGGTTCATACTCCTTAGATTGTTTTATGCATTCGATCACATTAAGTGCATAATATTAAGTTTAATTATGCAATTAGGGTTTGTGAGATTTTGCTTTACAAATGATAGCATATCCTTTTGGTTTGATATTGTTTGAATTTGTAAATTCAGTTATTTCTCATAAATTTGATCTTCATGCATTAAAACATTTTACCATGGGTATACAGTTTAAAAAAAAATTAAAGTATATATTCAGTACATTATTATTCAAAATGTTGGTTCTCTTTTGGTTTGGACTCATCGGTGTTTGAATATTGAGTTTATACTTTGAAATCTCATATTGTAAATTGCTTTAAGTTATGCAATTTATTTGGAATATATGAGTTTAATGCTTAATTTTATGCATATTTGTCCACCGCATAATATTATGTTTTTAAATTATGCAATTTTATTATGCCTTTAGCAATGCATACTTTGAGATGGAATTATATTAGTTCCTATTTAAGTTGGACTTACGCATAAACTTTAGTCGCGATAGTGCCTGAATTTAAGCACGTTTAGTCCGCTACTTTTAGTTCACCATTTAAGCTTTAATCATAGGTGAACCTTACAGTTTTCTGGTGTATACCCTACAGTTTTAGGTTCATACTCCTAAACAGTTATACATTAAGTATATATGAATCGGGGAGACATACTAGTTTTAATGGCCATGACTTAAGAACATCGTGTGCCACTAGTCTCCTTAAATTGATACTCTATTTAAGGAATTGGTTTTCAGTGAGACTTAGTCTCTAACCACATTTCCTCGGAGTATATTCAGATTTTCCCATCACAATTTGGTATAATCTGTTTGTCAAATTTTTAAGTATTCATTGCCAATGTGATTTTATTTCGGTTTATTAAAGAATAGCCAAAGCATCTTTAATTTACTGAAATATCTTGAGTTTTCAATCTTGGTTAATTAAGGAAATGCTACAGCATATTCAGCTACCTAAGATTATTAAGTTTTAATCACATAAAGTTTAGGCAAGAATTTGATAATTGTCTAGTGATCTTATAATTTTAATTTGGTTTGGAAGTAGCCACAGCATCCTTAATCTGTTAAAATTATATATTAAGCGGTTTATTTTGATCACATAAAGTTTTGGACATATCATTTGTGATTAATTGTATGTGATATAATGAAATTTAGCCCACAGGCAATTTCGTTATATTTGTATAATTAATCAAGATGAAATACTGGACTACGGTCATAATTTAGCCCACAGGCAATTATGTATCGGAATGTAGTTTAGTAGTTTTATCAGTGATGATAGAAATAAATTGATTTATTTACTTTATGGTTATTTGTAAATAATTTCCAATTCTATCATGAAGTTTAATTTTATGATGTAAACTTTAGATCATATTTCTTAATTTGCCCACAGGGATTAAGAAAAGGAACATGATCTCTTAAGTTTTTTATCATAATGATAGCAATGAATCTTATTGACTAAAACTTTAGCCTACAGGCAAGTTTTATGTCATTTGATTCTTCAACTCATTTGATAATGCTTTCATCATAAATAACATTTTTCAATTGGATCTAATTGAGTAAAACTTTAGCCCACAGGCAAGTTTTATGTCACTAGATTCTTCTGGCTCTTTAGTAATTGTGAAAAATATTATCATAAGGGTTTCTTAATTGGATTTAATAGAATTAAAACTTTAGCCCAAAGGCAAATTTTATGTCAATAAATCCCACCACCCATTAGATGATAATTTTATCACAATTTCTTAGAGTTATAAATCCAGTTCAATTATAATTCTAAGTTTCATGATTTGCATAGGCAAAACATGTATTCAGTCACTTCCCAAAATTTAGTCACTTCTATTAATTAATCCACGAATCTTGCTCGGTTCTTCGGACTAACTGTAGTAAGTTACGTGATTTGACATACATCTTTTGGATTCCATTACTAATAAAATGTATCTTTTGAGCCAAATTCTAACTTGGTTTTGGAAGGTGTATTTTTATTTTAGTATGTCCAACTATGGTGGGGAATTATATCTTCATTATTTAGTTGGACTTTAATTGGAACCAAAAATTGATTATTTAGTATGTCCAACTAATGGTGGGGAATTATGTCTTCATTTGTTAGTTGGTGGTCAATAAATCAATTATGAATGTATATTATTAAGTTCACTTTATTAATTTCGCTGAAAATTATTTTAATCAGTGGGAGTGATCATTTAGAAAAAAGATCATTAAGATGCTCCACTAGAGTTTATGGATTTAATTGGCTTCATACATCCTAAATTTGATTGTATGTCAAACAATAAGTCCAAAATATTCTACAAGTATTAATCTTGTATTTGTTCATATAAATTCATAAGTTCAAATTATTGAACATTTGGTTGTACAACATATTTATGAAAATGTTGCAACAATATTAAGGAATTTATTAGAACAAAAGCATTTAACTTGTGGTGCACTGTAATTTAATAAATTCTTCGGTGATTAATAGAGTCTTTAGTTTCTTCAAAATTGATCCTGGGTCATTTCGGTTGTAAGGCTCAAAACAATTTTGTGGGACATAAAAGTAAGACTGATTATGTTCAGTTCATTTAAAATGGACATTGAAGTTATTTGGGAAGTTATGGTGTATGATTAAGATTCTAAATTTATGGGCTTAGACCTTTGTTTATTGTCTAAGTTATTGGAATGCTTCTGTGACTTGACTATCTTTTGGCTATTTTTGATGAGTGTGAGTGACAGACGTGTCAACTCCAAGCTCTTAGCTGTTAGAGATAGTACTTAAAGTTAACTTATAAAGAAGTCATGGAATACAGTTAGCATTATGCTAACATTAAGAGATCTCTACTTAAGGCATGCTTATAAACTTTTAGAGATCATACAGTGTACTCTTTTGTACAATTTGGATGTGTTTTCTCCTTCAGTTGTGCACATAATGTATTTTGAGAAACATCCCTTAAGGTACCGAGAATAAACATAGGGTTTGTTCATAAAGGACCTAAGTTGGAGAATTAAAATGCATGTGACCATAGTGGATATTACTCTGATTAAATAGAGGACATGTCACTATAATTCTTGTGTTTTGTTCTTTGATGAAGGTTGTGCTAGTACTTGCACCAAGTGGGAGAATGTAAGATTTTCCCTAATAATATATATTATATATTATATATTAGGGCCTTAATTAAGTGGTGCAAGTTGACTAGGCTTATTAAGTGGTCTGGTTGGACTTAATAACTAGTAGTTGTTAGTCAACCAAACTCTGTGCCTAATATAACCTGGATTGATGGGATACAGGATTATGGATTAGATAGCACATTCAGTTACGGTACTCAGACTGCTCAGTAGATACCAATACACCATCTAGGGTTCTGAGTGAGGTCTGAGGCAATACATGGCTAACGGTCTATCGTTAAGAGGCAACATAACAGGAACATCAACTATGGCCGGAGATCAACACGACTACGCTTCCGCTATCATACGAGGTCAGGTTTCTCGTATACTATGTTTATTATAGTTAGACTATTGTATATCTAACATATATATATATATATATATATATATATATATATATATATATATATATATATATATATATATATATGTATGTATATATATATATATAGAGTAAGGTTCAAATGCGGCGATGTCCTTAGGTGTAGCGGTGCGGCGTCACCAATAGTTCAATAAATATATACCATCAATGTTAGGAAAATGCACCACAAAAACACACACAAATTAGGTACGCATCACAAAAAACACACCATTATGTGTGAGTAAAAACATCATACAGTGTTCAGAAATACACCATTAGGGTGTGGTGAGTTATATTTTTTTGAATATGTTGTGTATTTTTTGGTGTTTATTTTTATTTCATTGTGGTGTGTTTATCTACACTTTTTACGCATGTGTTTACCTACACTGTTCGTGATCTGATCTTCCATACTTAGCTTCCACTGTAGATGGAAACAAACGCACTTCCCCATCTTTGTTTCTGTGTATCTATATAACTCTGATCTGTAGGATTGAATTCTGCATACATGCATCTTTAATACTTCTCCAATTATTCTTGGGACCTCAAATCAAAGTGAATTCTTTAAAACTCACTTAATTGTTGATTCTTCCTGCATGTATTCACAACATTGCTAAATTAAATCGTTTTGTACCCTCCAATTTCATAACATTAAGCTATACTAGCTACACATCATAACCCAATTAAAATACTTAAAGGAAAAACTTAACTCGCAAATGCAACATGTTCTGTGTGGCATACTATACGGACACCTCCGATCATTGTTGAGACCTCAAAAATCAATCCTTTTACCCTGTACAGAGAGGTCCACCTTGCTTTAATTTGTTCCTTGACTTTCACCAAACTGGATGACTCATGTACTTCTTATGTGCGACTCTTCACATTCCGTACGTACAGGTCTTACTTGAGGCTTTTTGGTTCAATTCTTGATCTCCCTTTTAATTTGTTTCCATCCTCCAATTGACTCCATAAATGTACCATCCAAATGGTATAAAAATCACTCCTAATTGTGTTGAGCAAGTTAAATGGTACTTATATATCCACACAAATAAAGCAAATAAATGATTGATCACTACACTTTAAGCATAAAAATAAGGTTAAATCATATTTTTAATCAGTTAATGACAATTTAATGAAAATAAATAAAATATAAAAATGTGATAATCCAAATACTACAGTGGGTTCAATTATATATAATTATATATAAATTATAAATAATAATAAATATTAAAATGCCATTAAATAAACAACAAATTAAAAGATATAGATCAGATGTCAAAGAGCTAGCAAGGTGTCAAGTGTGAAGGAAGGATGTACTTACAATCCTTTTTTGTTTTCATTTGCAGCAAAAGCTGAAGATGGTTGCCGCTAAACACGTACAACGTAACTCTGATCTGCTGCTACTCTAACATGCATCCTTTATAAAATCAGGCAGGAATGGATCCCCTTGTGGATGGAAAGAAACGCACTTCGCCTTCTCTATTTCTATGTATTTCAAATAGACAAAATATGATGTTCACATGAGCCTGGAGTTCTGCACACACCTCCAATACTTCTCCCATCACTGTGGGAACCTCAAAAATAATCAAACTGAATTTGGGTTCGATGTTAATGTATTTGTGTTCCTTTATAGTCCAAGCACCACTGCTTTTGATTCTTGCACTAAAACGAATTCCATTGCAATCATCAATTTCACTACAGGGATCAATCACACTGTGCAGGATTTCAAACTTTTCATTCCCCAAAGGTATAGGAAAACAGCAGACTACAGACCCCATGCCCACATGAAACCAAATTTCGACACGGTCACCTTTAGAACGTGCCTACATATTATGGAATACATACATACAATAAAACAATTAGTTATTACTACCTACCTACTATAATATAAAAATACCAAATTATTAGATCGAGATGAGGGGAACATATATAACTAACCTTGAACCACTTTTCAATTGAAGGAATCCTCAAACCAATGCAATTTGCTATCCCAAGACAATTTAAGTATTCTAGACTCTGCAAGTCTGAAAGCTCAACCAAACTTTTACAGTTCTGAATATCTAGCCGATAGAGTCTTTTCAAGTTTGATAGATTTTCGATTTTTTCTAATGAGATACAATTCTTTGCAGAGAGTATCTCCAAATTAGGAGGAAGGTGTGGAAGTGATCTAAGATTCTGCAGATCATCCAAGCAGAGAATCTTCAAATTGGAATGATGGCAAAGGCTTAATGGCAAACTTTGAAGGTAATATCTTCCCATTAAATCTATTTCTTTCAACGAGGAGGACAAACTCCTAGGAGCAATTGGAAGATCTTCATGCAAATAGTTGTCAGGTATACTCAAGGCATTGCAATTGCTTATGTCAAGCTCTACTAAGGATGAAAGACTCTCCATGTTCGGAAGCTCAACCAAACTTGTGCAATGGCTTATGTCAAGCTTTACTAAGGATGAAAGACTCTCCATGTTTGGAAGCACAACCAAACTTTTGCAATTGCTTATGTCAAGCTTTACTAAGGATGAAAGACCCTCCATGTTTGGATGCACAACTAAACTTATGCAATTGCTTATGTCAAGCTCTACTAAGGATGAAAGACTCTCCATATTTGGAAGCTTAGCCAAACTTATGCAATTGCTTATGTCAAGCTTTATTAAGGATGATAGACTGTCCATGTTTGGAAGCACAACCAAACTTATGCAATTGCTTATGTCAAGCTCTACTAAGGATGAAAGACTCTCCATGTTCGGAAGCTCAACCAAACTTGTGCAATGGCTTATGTCAAGCTTTACTAAGGATAAAAGATTCTCCATGTTTGGAAGCACAACCAATCTTTTGCAATTGCTTATGTCAAGCTTTACTAAGGATGAAAGACCCTCCATGTTTGGAAGCACAACCAAACTTATGCAATTGCTTATGTCAAGCTCTACTAAGGATGAAAGACTCTCCATATTTGGAAGCTTAGCCAAACTTATGCAATTGCTTATGTCAAGCTTTACTAAGGATGATAGACTGTCCATGTTTGGAAGCACAACCAAACTTATGCAATTGCTTATGTCAAGCTCTACTAAGGATGAAAAACTCTCCATGTTTGGAAGCACAACCAAACTTTTGCAATTGCTTATGTCAAGCTTTATTAAGGTTGAAAGACTCTCCATGTTTGGAAGCATAACCAAACTTATGCAGTTGCTTATGTCAAGCTCTACTAAGGATGAAAGACGCTCCATGTTTGGAAGCTCAGCCAAACCTATGCAATTGCTTATGTCAAGCTTTACTAAGGATGAAAGACTCTCCATGTTTGGAAGTACAACCAAACTTATGCAATTGCTTATGTCAAGCTCTACTAAGGAAGAAAGACTCTCCATGTTTGGAAGCACAACCAAACTTTTGCAATTGCTTATGTCAAGCTTTACTAAGGATGAAAGATTCTCTATGTTTGGAAGCACAACCAAACTTTTGCAATTGCTTATGTTAAGCTTTACTAAGGATGAAAGACTCTCCATGTTTGGAAGCACAACCAAACTTTCGCAATTGCTTATGTCAAGCTCTACTAAGGATGAAAGACTCTCCATGTTTGGAAGCTCAACCAAACTTTTGCAATTGCTTATGTCAAGTATTTCTAAGGATGAAAGACTCTCCATGTTTGTAAGCATAGCCAAACTCTTGATTTTCCCCAGACTCAGTGTCTTTAGATTGCTCAAACATCCAAAAGAAAATGATATATGTGAGATGGCAGTTCCATCAACAGATAACTCTCTTAATTGCTCTATTTTTCCCAAGTCAGTTGGAAGCTCCCCCAGTTTTTCGCATTCATATAAACATAAAACTTCAAGTGATTTTAAGTTGCAAATGCTACTCGGAAGAACCTTGAGTTTCTTGCAATACATAAAATTTAACATAACAAGGCTCTCCAAACTTCCAATTGATGGGTGTACCTTGACCAAATTTGAACACCCGTGAAACGATACTTTTTGAAGGCTATGTGCTCCAGTGAAGTCTGGCGTTTTCTTAAGTTGTTTACAAGAATCAAACTTTAAGATCATCAAGCATCCAAAATGCTGTTGAAAAAAAGTAGAAAAATGTTTAATCAATTTATATTTTTCTAGTCAAAATTCTTAATTAAGAAATATGCAATGATGAAAGAAACATTAAACATACTAACCTCCATATTGCATTGGAATTCTTCAATATTGCTACCTTCCATGTCTAACTTAACAAGTTTCTCACAGCGAAAATTAGATGGTATGCAACTCAAATGGCAATTGTGTAATCTAAAAAACCTAAGCTCATTTGATAAATATTTAAAAGATCCGTTGAGACATATACCATTCAATATGAGTATTCGTAACCTTACCATCCTTTTGAATACTTGAGTATTCAAAGGCACATCCTTTAACATGTTAGAATCTACAATCATCCCTTCAATTGCTTCGGTGCCCTATAAAAAAACATTTATATATATAACAATATTTTAGATTTTAGATATTTTGAAATCTTTGATTTTAATAAATTTAAATATAGAAAACAAATGAATTAACTAGAATAACTCAAATACAAAGGAAATGCTTTACCTTGTTCCCGTGAAGAACATCAAAGACATCCTTTGGGTCAACCAATCTACTTTGTTTGCCCGGCTCTCGTGGAGATTCCTTTCGAACAATTTCTATTCCCATATCTCGCACTAAATCATGCATTTGAATCCTTTCAAACTTTCCACCTCCATTTGTTGTCAACAAACATCTTTCAATCAAAACTCTTATTCCACTTTTAGCATAAAAACCACAAGCTTCCAATATCATGGAAGTGTCATTTTTCTTATTCCCAATAAAAAAATAAGCAATATCAAGAAAGATATTTTGAGTATCATTATCAAGTGAATCATAACTTTTTTTAAGAATTTTTTGAACGTCATCATGAGGTACCGCTCTTAATTTCTCAACATCATCACTCCATTCTTGCACTGATTTGCCACGCAAATGAGAACCTATAATTGTAAGTGCTAGTGGAAGTCCACCAGTATAATTTGCTATCCTTTCCGATAGTTCAATATACTCCACTAATGGTATAGAAACACCAAAAGCATGCCAACTCAAGAGTTGCAAAGATTCATCATAGCTTAACGTTTTGACCATGTATTTCTCTTGTGCTCCAAGATCACTAAGCAAATGAGCATCTCTAGTTGTAATTATAATTATGCTACCTAAACCAAACCAATTTCGTTGTCCTGCTAATGATTCTAGTTGACTAGTATGGTCTATGTCATCAAGAATAACTAGAACCCTTTTTGATCGCAGTCTTTCTTTGATCAAATTTATTCCTTCATCAACATTATCAATTTTAATTTTCTCTGTATTGAGTGTTTTGGAAAGAAGTCTCTCTTGCAAACGAACTAAACCATTGTGCCCCTCGGAAACTTGTGATCTAATGTTTGCAATAAAGCAGCAACCTTCAAATCTTTGAAAACTCAAGTTGTAAATGGCTTTAGCAAGGGTTGTTTTTCCTACACCATCCATGCCAAAAATTCCAAACATCTTGATATCATCATGTTTTTGAGTTTGCAATAAATGAAGTATATCTCTGACACGAGATTCAATTCCAACAGGATACTTTGCAACATTCATAGATGTACGATTCACTTCACGCAATACCTCTTCAGTAATTTTTTTGATGAACTTTGATTCATACCTATCATAGTTTTCCAATGAATGTCAATCTAAATCATTAAAGAAAATATAGGTGGAAAATAGAAAACTGAAGGTGTGTTTGGTTCAAACATGGAAATCGAAATCGGAATGAGAACCAAATACTTTGTAATGGTAATTGGTTTTGGGAAAGTATTTTGCATGTTTGGTAGTAGGGTGGAATTTGAATGGTTACCGATATTGATGTTTTGTTATGTACGAGCTTATAATGGAAATAAAGGTTTTAAAAATACAAAAACAAATATCAAGACGTACAATTAATCATCATATAATCACATCCAAAGCACCAATATGAACAAAAAATTAAAACAAAAATCTAAAGGATGTAGTTAGGAAGCAACATATCCGGAGGTGACAGATGAGGAGGGATAAGATGGAATGATACCCGTTTTTAATTAGAAAATGTGGTTTTTAACTAAAGGGGTAATCAAATCACATAAGTGTGTTTCAAAATGTTGTCAACAAAACAAAAAACTATAATTTTGATTCTCATTCCTGGTATGCAAACCCGTTAAAAAACACGCCATAAATATGTATATTTAGTTGCTCATTCTTCCCAAAAAGGTTGAATCCTCAACCCCAAGGGCCTCCCACACTCCGGCCGGGCAGAGCATTTGGGAGGATGTAAATCATGGTAACTCAACTGAACTATAGAGGCTAGACCTTTACTTACTGCGCACAAGAAGCCCCCCTCACTTTGATAGGTTACTTCCACACTACCGCTGTATTTAGTTGCTCATGATCCATTGCTTGAGGTAAACAACTCTTAATAATATTTTCATCCACGGATATAATAATCAATCCGTCAATCCATAATTATAATTTCTAAAAGGAATTAATATTTATGACAAATAAATTGAAAATTATGGGGCAGATTCTTCTTGTTTTACCAAAAATATTAATTAATCCATCCTTAAGATACATGTATAGATGCTAGAATGCAATTTTTAATTAGCAAAACTAACATAATTAATATTATGTACGATTCACTTCCCGCAGTACCTCTTCAGTAATTGTTTTTTTATGAACTTTGATTTATACTTATCACTATTAGGACTCTACTAGTAGTATTAGACTAGATCTCTATTATAGTAGTAGTATTAGACTATATCTCTATTTCGTATCTTTATATACTTTGTATTCACTGCTTTTGATCAATACACAGAAAATATATTCTCATCTAGTATCAGCTAGGTTTTCTCTGATGGAAAACGTCGGTGTTAATGACGGCTCTGTTGTTGGTTCTTCTGAACGGACTGTTACCGAGATTCCTACGATGCTTGCGAGTGGTAGTCTGTCATCGGCTCATCACTTCGTTTCTTTAAAGTTGACCTCCTGAAATTATCTATTCTGGCGAACTCAGATGCATCCGTTTCTTGAAGGCCAAGGGCATCTAGGGTTTGTTGATGGTACAACACCCTTTCCGACGGCATCGCCGGCCCTAACGTCGACCGCGGACAGCGCCCTAGCGGCGGTTTCCGATCTCCCCGCCCGGCAGCTCGCTTGGCGTCGGCAAGACAAGGCCATCCTCTCCATGCTCATCTCCTCTTTGTCCGAGGAGAATCTTCGTTTCTCCGTCGGCAAGGGCACCTCTCGGCAGCTTTGGCAGGTAATCAAACAAACCCTAGGTTCGTCTACTCGCTGTCATGCACTTTGACTACTCGGCGAACTTCACGGGCTCCGTCAAGGTGATTCCTCAATATTTGATTACCTTTGTCGTGCCCAGATGTTGATTGATGAATTGGCTCTCGTCGGTCGTCATGTTGAGTTGGATGATTAGAATTTATATGTGTTTCGCGGTTTACGCCCGGAGTTCCGACCGTTGGTGGCAACCCTAGCTCGTGGTGCGCATGTTTCCCTCCCAGAGGTTGCGGATTTTCTTGTTTCACAGGAGTGGATCTGATCGGACGACGGTGCGTCTCTCGGCGCACCGGCGGCCTTGGCCGTAAGCCGTGGATGTTCACGGCGGCCGCGGTGGCAGTCCGCAAAACCGAGGTGGTGGCGGCCGTGGCAGGGGGCGCGGTGGCCGTGGCCGGGGGCGGTCCAACTCAAGCCCTCGGTGTCAGATTTGCAACAAGAAAGGGC